ATTTAGCACATTAGGCCTAAACATGTAATAAAATCAGATAACTGATAAAACCAAATATAACAATTCATCTAAGCTCGAATTCTTGAACCGTGAACCAGAGATTCTGGGTTTGGATCCCCAGCAGAGTTGTCAGAGCTGTCACACCTCCTTTTTCCTACCCACCCTTAAGGGAGTATATAAGGGAGTTTTTCCAATTAAAGGACAATCAAAACGGGACTTATTTATTAAAGATTCAGAGTTGCCACTTGGGATGATTATGATGTCCCAAGTCACCGGTTCAAATCCCGAATCGAGAAAAAGATTGACTCTGTTTACATTCTGCGAACACAGAAANCAGAGAAAAATCTCTTTCTTCAATTCAACTGGAAACCACATCTTCACAAACTAGCCTTATACAGACATCAATTCCATTGAGGGTTCAAATGAAATACCTGGGAAATAAGAGGAAACAAGAAGAAAATGAGGTTTCAGTAGATGAAAAAAAACAGTAGAAACACAGTAGGGTTCAACACCAACAGTCCATTTTAGCCAAAAAATGATGTGAAACAGTCCAAAAATCCACTCTCAATCGAACAGTAACCAAGGCTAACTTCAGACCAAAATTTTGAAAACCAAACTCAATCCATTTTAACCTCAAATAAATCAGAAAATTATTTCAGAAATTGAAATTCAATGGAACAGTGTTCTTTATCAAAAAAAAAAAACCTCAACCGTTTGTGATTTTCTCAAATTTCCCCTTAAAGTCTGACTTGAGAGTCAAGTTAGGATGCCTTTATTGGCAAGGCATTAGGGCAGCCCCTTAAGAAATAGTTTTGCACCTTAGTCCTTTTCTCATTTTTATTTTTGCTTAGGGTGCCTTAGTGTAAAACTCAAAAATTCGGAAATGCTCCCACCCCAACTTCCTAGAAGCTTCCAGTTCAGTTATACAAAGATTCCCTACCTAGAGTTCCTAAACTACCCCTTGAACTCCTAAAATTACCCTCATCAAATTACATGGGTCAAGTAGACCCAATGTTTCAATTCTAAGCCTGGGCTAACTCCTTTCCTTTGGACTCAAGTCCATTTTACTAATTCAAATAGAAAGGTCTAGAGGGCAGACAAACAACTGGTATTGGAATCAGATGAGCCTTTGGACTAAATGTTCCCACTTCGGCCCAAAATTTGAAAAATAAGGAAATTAAGAAACAACTAAACTAATGAATCCAATTAAACAACAATTAACTCCTACACTAAACTAAGAAGAAACATGCGAAGATGATTTTGAGAAAACGGACGGATAGAAGAAAATAAAAGAAGATAACAATGGTAGAAGAAAACCAAAAAAATAACAACAGAAAAAGAAAAATACCTAAAGAAATGCCTCAGACAGAAAAAATGGCGACGAATCTTCAAACTCTCAAATCTTCGGCTCAATCTGAGATTAATCATGTGTTTCTCATCAAAACACATAAATAAAGTCAGAGGGAGCCTAAAATCTTCACAGAAATCTTGGCTTAGAAAATTTGGGGTTTTATGGTTAGGCTTTGANTTTTTCAATTTTTCTAATTTCTTTTAATTTAAAACTAAAATAAACCTAAATTAATTCCTAATACAAATTATCTAATCAAATTAATTACTACAAATAATACTTACTACTATTAATTAAAACCAAATTAAAGGAAAAACTACCAAAATTCAAAACTAAAATTAAAAGGTGTAAAAATAATCTATTTTTTGTGATTTTTCTATTTTTGTAAAACAACTAAATTACTAATTTTAAAAAATGCCAAATTAAATCCTAAATGCAACTGCAACATATTTTTTTGTATTTTTCATTAATTAACAAAGTTAACATGCGCAGACAAATGCAAACCATTAACACAAATGCTACAAAAATCTATGAGATTGCAAACAATGGCAAAAATTATTTTGTTTTGAATTTGTGGGAGTAATTCATATAGGGTAAAAATCACGTGCTCACAATTGTCATGTCCTTGAATCTTTATATGAGTTGTATAAGTATTGAAACCGAAGAAGAATGCCTAGTTTGATTTTCCATATAGGAGTGGAATGTGCAGAGATTCAGAACTTTAGCATTCGCATTGCAATTCAATTAAGAGAAGAAAGGATATTTACTTGAGTTCTTTTCTCCTTCTCCTTTGTTATTTCCTACAAATTTTTATCTCCTAATATCTGCCTTTATAAGTTATTCTTGTTTGCTGAGAAGGGGAGCGTTGGCGCAACTGGTAAAGTTATTGCCATGTGACCAGGAGGTCACAGATTCGAGCCGTGAAAATAGCATCTTGCGGAAGTGCAGGATAAGACTGCGTACAATAGACCTTTGTGGTCCGGCCCTTCCCCGAACCCTGCGCATAACGGGAACTTAGTGCACTGGGCTGCTTTTATTTTTGAAGTCTATTTTCAAGCTTTTTAAGATGTAAAGTTGTTAATAGTTTCTTTTTATAAATAATTTAATCTCTTTAGATATTGTTGATCTTATATAATAGAACCAGATTTCAAAAGGTTGATAACTTGATATCGAAATTATTTTTGATGTTCTAATATACTTGTTGAACCGCTTGAAACCTGAGGGTAAAAAAGGAAAAAACGAATGCGAATATAGTTTTATTCAACGGTACTCTTCTTGTTTTTTATAGGAAAAACAAAATTCTTTTTTTTCTATAGAAAACAATATAACTTTTAATTGGAGAAAGAGAATCACTCCCCTAAACCCTTGTTGCAAATATAAAGCTTTTCATTATTTAAATTTATGGAAAATGGCCAAAAATATCCCTTTACTATCTAAAATAAGTCATATCTGGTCCCCGTTATATTATTTAATTTAAAAAAGTCCTTACCATTTGTGCCCATAAATTAAAATGCCCCTCCACCGTCTACTCCGACATTTAAAATTAAAATATCCACTTGGCAGTCTTTGATTGGACGATTTACACCCACCCCCTATTTTTTAATTAACCCACGACCGGTTCATTTTATCCGACACACCCGTAAATCACTTAAAGAACACCCCAAAACAGTTCGGTCCCCATTCCTTCCTTCAACCACGAGAAAAAAAGCTAGGGTTCTTCAAGAAAGCTTACTCTTAGTAGAGGGCTACTTCAATTTCTTTCATTATCAGTTATTTGATCCAAACCATGCTGTAAATATTGTCAAAAAGGTGGTTTGGCATATCGGAAAATAGTTATTCATCCAAAAGGAAGTGCCACTGTGGGGAATTTTCTAACCAATTCACTCCGACTACTCTATTTAACCCTGGACGGAGATTTTACAAGTGTCCAAAACCACAAGTAAGTGATTATTATTAAATTTTGTCATGTTTGAAATTTCTTATAGTTTAACAAATTGTTTCCCATATTTGTTTGAATTGTATTTTGATGTTATAGGATGCTTCATGTGGTTATTGGGAATGGTCAGATGATCCTATTCCCGATAGAGCGCTTGTACAATCAACAATTTAAGGTCTATTGGATGCGGCAAATGTTAAAATCAATACTTTGTAGTCGTCATTGGACAATGTTAACATTGAAATGGATAAATTGAAGGAGAAATTGATCGTTGTAAAGGCAAGAAACCATGTTCAGGTGACTAAATTAGAAGAGAAAATCCTCGAGATGAAGATTTTCACTATTATTTTATGTACCCTTTTTGTTGGAATTGTAGCCGCTAGAGTAATGAATTTAATTTTAGCTGCTAGTGTATTGTTGGAATTTTGTTGGAATTATGTAGGCTCATATATTATATGAGTTCATTTTTGTTTAGACTACTTCAAGTCTTGTAACATTGATGTTTTAAGTTGATGTTTAAGTTCTAATGTTAATTGCTCGCTTTTGTTGGTTCTCCTGTAGATTTAAGTTTAAGTTACTCCATGTTTAAGTTCAACTTTTAAGTTGGTGTTGATGTTAACTTGAAGTGTAAGATGCTACATATTAGTTGGTTGTTCAATATTAACATAAAACTGCCCATGAGCACACAATGAACATACTGAACATTCAATATTAACACAAAACTGCAGTTGATAGTGAACATACTGAACATGTTTACGGCAAAATTGCATATTCAAAACTGCAGATTCAACACAGTGAACATACTGAACATTAACTGCAAAACTGTAGATTCAACATAGTAACTGCATATTTAATTATACAAAATAAATCCACATTTGTGGAGGCATGGATGCCATATTATACTCCCTAAATACTGTCACAAACATGGTAATAATATGACATCCAACCCCAAAATTCAGCAAGAAGTCTTAACAGACTACACAAAATAGGAAATGTACTATCACATGACAGTAATTACAACCCAACCAACTACACAAAAAATAACATATTTAGTTGTATTACAATAGACTTCAGTTGTTTCCCCTTCTTGGCTTCAGCTTATCCACTTTCTTTCTGCTTTGCATCTCCAGCTGACTTCTAGTTACAACATTTTTTCCTTTCCATTTGAGGCCTGGTGGTTTAAAAGGAAGTGATGATGGAAAATTAACACCATTTGTATCACCAGTGAATTAAATTACCCTTACACTTGAAGTTTGAGGTGGTTTTTGCATTTGCAGAAGTCTTGTTTTAGATTCCGACACAGTAGTTGGCCTTGTAACTACATTTGGATCAAGTTCAGGTTGCTCACACTCAAGGAATGGACTGTTTGATTGACTGTGCACTGGTGGTGTAGGCATAAACACAAAATTTGAGCCTTGAACACTCGACTGACTTGCTTGACTAGATTGGGGTGCTGTTAGGTGTATCTCTTCTTCTGATTGTTGCCCCACACTTTCATTTTCATCAACTAGATGTCTAGAATTTTTCCTTGCCCTTTTTGCCATAGGTGGCTATTGTTGACAAATAAAAGTAGTTAGATAAAATAAATGTTAGTATTGTTAACAAGTAAAATAAGTTAGATATGGTGAGAGTTGTTACCTTCTCACAACCCCTTGCATTATGATTTGGCTCTCCACAGTTGGTGCAAGTCATTACTCTCCCTTTTCTTGAAGCTGCCTATTCACCTTGCCTTTTGATTGCCTCATCTTTTTGTCTTGTTCTCTTGATTTTAGGCCTCCCAGCCATCTTGACGAACTCAGGTGGTTCCATTGTTTGTGATGGATCTAACTCCCAGAATTTTTCACCCCTAACTAGCTGCAACTTATACTTGTTGGTAAGCAGATATGCTTCTTTGCTGTACCACCAGTTGATTTCATTCATAGGCTCCAACCTTTTTAATTGCAGGGCTTTAATTTCATGTGGGCATGGGATTCCAGTAAGATCCCATCCCCTACATGTGCATTTTTTGAAAACCATGTTTACAGTGTACTTATCTGTCCCTTCCCTGACTTCATAGCCATTGTCACCATTGATGTCCACATAGCAAGAAGTGGTACCTATCTTGAAGTATTCATTGTAAATCTTCAAACTATGTGGACTGAAATCATTTGCCCATGACCTCACAGCTTTCTCCCTTTCCCTAAACTAGTTCATCAACTTTATCTTTATCTCCTCAAGCATTTTAATGATTGGCTTTTGCCTTGCTTCAACCAGCCATGCGTTCACTGACTCAGTGAAGTTATTCTCAACTTTTTGGTTCTTGCACATAGTATCAAAATAGGCTCTACACCAAGCCCGTGGAGGATACATTAACAATGATTCATCAGCTTCCTTACTCAGTTCCCCAATACTCTTCAACTGATCCTTGAAATCTTCCTCATAAGAGCTCCAGGCACTCCACCATAGCAACTTCTTGAACTCATCTGTCCTCCATCTCTTGCACCAGTTTGCCTCTATGTGCTTCACACAAAATCTATGGTGTGAATCAGGTAGAACATTTTGGACTGTCTCAATTAATCCCTACAAAATGAAAGTGAATATTAGTAACATGCACTACTGCAGGTAATTAACAACAAATTGAAATGAAAGAAATAAAGATATCTGGATAGAATTCATACCTTCTGGGTTATCTCTAAAATCAGCCTCTTAGCCCTCTTGCACTTTCCATAACTAACATTAACATTGAATGTGTTTTTCAGTTCTACTTTCATCTATTTTATCTTAAACTTTGGGTTATCTTGCACCTTCTTCTTGAAGTAATTTGCTATTATATAATAATCAATCCTAGAATTCTCAAATGCTTCATCACATGTATGTTTTGCTTTTAAGGTCTTTACCCTAACCCTTGAAAGGTCCCCATCTGGAGTAATATGAACAACAAAGGGGCAGTCAAATACACATCCATATCTTAGCCTTTTAGGAGAACTTTTCAACAACTTTAGTTCCTTTTTGTTTGCTAAGGCATAGAAATTAAGATATTTTCTTGCTTCAAGTATATCCTTGAAGCTCATACCCTTATATAGTTCCTTATAATTATCCAAACCTGGCATAATCTCTCTTTTCTTTTGATTAGCAAATGTTTGTAATTCATCACTATCATACTCTATCTCTCCAAAATTAGAATCAGATTCACTTTCAACATCACTACAATCAGTGCCAACTTCATTGAATACGGTATATGACTCAGAATGATGGACTATGTTAGTCACACTAATAGACTGCTCACACTCATCTACAGTATAGAAATGAAGAGTCTTGAATTCATAAGAGATTAGACACAACATATGTCTTATACCATCATCATCCTCAATCTCATAATAATTACCAGATGGATCATTCACAATTAGTTGTTGAACACCTACATTTCCTAACTCATTAATGTATAAATCCACTAGATATTTGTATGATAGAAGTTCAGAATCATAACCTCTTTTGATATGGGACAACTTCTTTGAATACAAGATATGTGGGCTTTTTTCCAGTCCCTACCATAATGCAAGATTAGGTCCGCCAATGACATCCTTGCTATTCTGCAAAGGTAACAACAAAAAATAACTAAGCAATTAAAAAAATACTAATAAATAATACGGGGACAAACAACAAAAATCTAAATAACATAAACAATACTAATAAAGAACAATAACTAAGCAATTAACAAAACAGAATTATAAATCATGTATGGATTTAGGGGAACACAAATAACATGTAACAACTAGGGGACCACAAATAATTCAAGTAGTAAAGGCCCACTAGTACTAAAATATTCACATATTTCAGTTGTGAGGGAACAACATTCAACACACCCAACACAAACATATGTCAGACAAGAAAACGACTAAAAGGAACAAATGAAATCCCACATTATCATATCTCACCAACTTTAGTGCTTACAAAATTCAGAAAAGACTAAAACAAAACACATGCAAAGACATTCCACACAAGAAAATAAGACGAAAAAGTCAGAAAATAACATCTTAAACTAACACATAAGAAAACAAAACATATTAAAGCCCCAAAATGATTTGAGTATAAAACCCTAATAATAAATTAAGACAAATACACATAGAGGGGAGATAAACAAGTAATATTACGCGGATTAAACATACCTTTTCAGAAAATTGATTCTTGAATCGGCATCATCGACTAAGAGAAGGCTTTCTTGAAGAACCCTAACTTTTGGTCTCGTGGTTGAAGGAAAGAATGAGGACCAATCTGTTTTGGGGTGTTCTTTAAGTGATATACGGGTGAGTCAGATAAAATAAACCGGGTCGTGGGTTAATTAAAAAATAGGGGGTGAGTTTAAATCATCCAATCAAAGACTGCCAAGTGGATATTTTTAATTTAAATGGCGGAGTAGACGGTGGAGGAACATTTTAATTTCTGGGCACAAACGGTAAGGACTATTTTAATTAAATAGTATAACGGGGGCGAGATATGACTTATTTTAGATAGTAAAGTGATATGTTTGGCCCTTTTCCGTTAAATGTATGATTAACATAACTAGTGAAGTACATTTCTCACTAAAAAGGTGAAATAAACTTTTAGAATCCATTTTTTGGTTCAATAGTCGAAGTCTTATTTTTTATCTTTACCTTTTATAAAATATTTTACTTTTTATTTTAAAATACCCAATATATTTAGACCCTACCTCTGAAGATTGTTGTGAGATGTATATGATCCAACTTACCTAATTAATTAGATATATTGGGTTCGAGTCATATGGTTACACAAATTCTACTAAAATGTGTTCTCTTTTTACTAGGCTTTACGCGGTACGAATTTAGATTAGTCGGGATTTCAATACAAATACGAGCAGAAAACAAAAAGAAAAATTTGGGCCCCCCCAGAGTTTGGGGGCCTAAAGCCTTTGCTTTAGTAGCTTGACCCTTGGGCCGTCCCCGAAATTCTCACATTTATTTGGAAGATACTTATTTCGGATGAGTCACACCAATAGGATGAACCAAGTGAGTTCTGCATCATGAACTTTGTAATACAAGAAACCAACCAGCAAAAAGTGCGAGCACGTAAATTTTGCCCTATAAGAATTACTCCCATAAAATACAAGAAAAATAATTTTTTCCATTTTTATAATTTTATAGGATTTTGTGGAAATTTGTGCTAATTATTTGCATTTTTTGTGCATGTTTATTTTTATTAAAAAATCATGAAAAGCCAAAAAATACCATGCATCATTTAGGTTTGATTATATATATTTTTTGGAATTAATTAAGCAATTATTTCTTTTATTAAAAAATAAAAATCACAAAATAGCTCATTTTACACCGTTTAATTTTAGTCTATCGATATTTCTTTTTGATTTAGGACTAAGTAGTTTTATAATTATGGTGACTATGCAATTAATTTAATTTCACAACTTAGATTAATTTAGGAGTTAATTTAAGATTTTTATTAATTTAGGAAAAGAAAAGAAAAAGAAGAAAAGGAAAAACAATTGAGTAAGGAGAGGGAATTAGAAAGGAAAAAGGGCTGTTAGGCCCAAACTCTTTTAATCCAAAATCTGGTCCCAATTTACCCGTCCAGGTCCAGCCCAAATTATCCCATTCACCCGCCCGTCTGCCCCAAACCCGACCCGTTCCCAAATGCTAATTAACAAAAGATACGTAGAACCCTAATCTCCAAGACCCAAATCGGCACAGCTACTATTCACTCGCTTTCCTCATCCAAGCCAGACCTCAAATCACTCAAAATCCATGGCAAGTGAGCCCCAATCCCACACCTCACGTTTCCACTCTCTCCTCCTACCATATTACAACCGTTTCTGACAGATTCCCTTTCCCCTCACATGCTTCTTTGATTTATCTTGGATTTTTTTCACCCTTCAGATGAAAATAAGGAAAAATAGGGAGTGCTAGATTGGATTCGAGCTAATCTACTCCCTCCATTTGTCCTTCTTTCACCAGAAACGGGGTGAGAGATCTGTTTGGGAGAGGATTTTTTTTGTTTTGAGGAATTTTCTTGGAGAGAAAAGAAGAAGATTGGAGAGCGTCTGAGAATCTATTTAAGGTGAGGCCCATTTCTTGTATAGGGGGATTTTTTGAGAGAGAAAATTTCGAGGAAAAATTAAAGGAAAAGTTAAGTTTCAAAATATTCTTCTTCTTCTTCTACTTTTCTTTCTTCATTTCTGAGCTTAGGGAGGAAAAGATACAAGAAATATTGAAAGTGTGCTAGGAAATCTTAAAGTTTATTTTTCATTTTTAATTCTAGATTTTAGGGTTAAAAATGGAAGTCATTTGACAAGTTCGAGTTCGTCGTTGCTCGAGAGCTGATTTTCAGCTACTGGTTATTCTCTTTTGGTCAATTTAGGTGTTGTGACCAATTCATTTTAATTCCAAGTTCACTTCTTTTCTTGTCCTATATTTCTGCTATGAAGCAAGTCATAGATAATTGTAAAAATGATTAAGTTTAAAATAATAGTTGAAGTTCTGTGTTCAACGAGCGTGCTATGGATTTTGAATCGTCTTGATGGTATGTTTATGATGTTTGTTCCTTTTGACTTAAGTAATTGGTTTCTGTTTGGATGAAATGTGAACGGAGAAATCAAAAAATTAATCGGCTCATAAGATTTTCATTTACCAGTTTCTGGTCCTCCATGTCCGTTGTAGATGCAATATGCATTTGGCATGAGTTTCTTGCTTTCATTCCTTAATTAACATGGTTTTAAGTAGTCTTTCTCGTTAAAAAATGTGAGAGCTGGGGATTTGGTTGAGTTATAGATCACTCGACTCCATGTTATGAGTCTAGTTGAAATTGTCAACCCCTTGAGGATTCGACAGTGTTGAAGTTTCTGTAACCAATTTTGTTTGATTTCACAATATTCTGTGTTGCTTTGCCCATTTTATCATAATGAGATGAAGGCTTGCTAGTGCAAATTGAAGTATTTTGAGCTGGGACCAGGTTCACAATATTCTGTTCATAGTTATTGTCATTTAACGGCGGGTCCTTTCTTAGTATGTGATTAGATTTATCTTCAGCAGTTAAATTGGCTGACTCTCAAAGTTGATTCATAGGAATTTTCTCGTCTCCATGGTTTGGTTTTGGACAACTTTCCGTTTGTTAAGTTTGTGTATGAGCCGGGTGCATTGATTCGTCGAAACATTAACCTAAGTGATTTTTGTTCTTGGTGTTTGTTTCCCCCTTAAACTATGGTATTATTCTACTTTTAGAACTTCAAATTGGGTGACAATTTTGATAGCAAGCTAGAGTTGTAGTAACAAAGTTTGAGTATGGTAATGTTTAGTTTAATGCTGTATTATGAACTCAGTGGTCATGAAGTTGTTGGCTCTTGTTTACTATGAAGTTCCATGAATTGCTTGATTTAAGTGAAAGCTAGTTGATGTATGCTGCCAACATTCTGATTCCAAGAATTGCTTAGTTGTAAAGATAATAGTTCTCAATGTTTAAAGGTTCGTGCCCGCTCTTAGTCATGTCTGGAGTAAATCGATTCATGTTCGAGCAAGTCTAAAATGATGTCTAAATTTTGCCCACCTTTTCTTGATTCGAGTTTCATCTCTGTGCTGGATTTGGTTCTCCTGTTGAATTTTCTAGTTGAAATATGGTATACCATGAGATTTATATGCTACTGTTTCCTTCAAATCTTTCTTATTTAAATGTTGATTAGTTCATTGGCTTTGAGCTCATAGGCATGGGGGTTTTATTTTCTTCTATTGTTGTGTCAACGCAAGGCACAAGG